TCCTTTCGTTTGTGTTTCAAATAATTTTTGAAGTCCTTCCACAATGGAGGCAACTTCTCAATTATTGCTGCTACTTGGAATGCTTCATTGATGACAAAACCTTCAATGAAAATTCCGTTAGTAAAATTACAAAAAAATTTACTTTCAACATCGGTATTCTTTTGAAATATACCATCAGCAAGTAGATCATGAATAATTACTTGCAATTCCTGGACTTGGGTAATAACAGACTTGCTATCTACCATTTTGTAGTCCAAAAATTTTGCAGCGACGAATTTCTTCATCACGGCGTCTTCAGTTTTGTATTTCTTTTCAAGCGCATTCCATAATTCTTTTGACGTCTCCACGCCACTGTATACATTATACAGATTATCATCCAGTCCGCTAAGAATATAATTCTTGCACAAAAAATCAGAATGCTTCCATGCCTCAATCACGAGAAAGCTTTCATTCTCTGGAGTTTCATCTGGCAGATCAGGAACATCTTCCTTGATGAACTTTTGTAGACATAACGTAGTCAAGTAGAAGAACATCTTTTGCTGCCAGCGCTTGAAATCAATCCCGGAAAATGTTTCGGGTTTTTCTGGTGGTGCCAAAGCCGGTGTTCGGCTTGTCGATGCGTTGGCAGTCACCATCGGAACAGCTTGATTTCCGTTGTCATTCGCCATTTTTTTTCTGTAAAAAATGACACAAACAAACGTTTAAAACTGGAGTAAAAAATCACATAGATTTTAATCTCCAACAAAACGCCACGAAGGCTTTACTCTCCAAACGGTAGTACACAAAAACCACAAAGGTTTTAGTTTCCAGAATAATAAGAATAACACAAATACAGAAATCAAAATTATTAAATTCCTTAAGCTTGTTGGTTATCCTGTATTTGTAAATAATGATTTTGGAAATTAGAACGTTAACTTATAAACGTAAATATAAATGATATAAATGAAACAGAAATTAATTCGAGTCCACTGAATTCACAGTGTTTCCTTAAAGAATTTAATCCCCTCCTAGTACTCAAAGTTATGGATTATTTCCTCCCAGGATAGAACGAATTACACACTGGTGTAGCGGTACTTCAAACCCCAGTGTTTCATTGAACACAAAGTTCGGCAACAAATCACACTTACGGTTGCTTTGTTTGTAGTTTAAAACAATGCAGAACAAGGGAGGAGAACTCAGAAGTCGAATGGAAATTCTGAGAGGACGAAATGCAAATTATAGTCAACGTTGAGTTTTCGGTGAAGAGAAGATCAATAGCTCTCAATTTTTATTTTTATTTTTGTGGTGTTTTTTCTCCAACTGCTGCTGCTCATATTTATAGCAGTCAATTGTGAGACCCCCCCCCCCTCCATGGTGGAGCATGCACTAGCTTGTTATGGAGCAAGCACTTAGCCATGGTGGGAGGAGCACTAGGTGGATGCTATTGCAACTGGTGGTACAATACACGGATTGGAACATATCCGTTACAAACACGGATAATATTACGTTAATATCTACTATTAACAAATAAATTTGGTCCAAAAAATTAATCAATCAATCATTTGATCGAAGCCGGAGCCGAGCGAGCGACGACGACGACACGAGGCTTGCCTTCTTCCTAACTCTTTAAGAGCTACATGAAATGCATTTGTATATAAACCCACCAAACTCCTTTTCCTCTACCAATGAGGGACAATGTCTCATTAAAAGAAGGGAAAAACTTAAAATTTTACTCAAAATTTTCATTTCGTTCCATTTCCCATTCACCCTCTTTTTAATACCTTTCTATATTAAAAAGAAACTCAACAATTCTTTGTGTACATGTGACTATTTCTATGTCTACGATTCCTATTATCAGAACTGGGAAAATCAGTTCAGTGACGAGAATCTCAATTTAAATTGCAATAATGTACAAGTTGAGTTTGAATTTCCTGACTAGTGTTTCCGACTTTCCGATTCCGTCCGTTATTGATTATGTTAAGAAAAATCAGGGAATATTTTGAGAGGCATACATTCACCGCCAGATCAGCATGCGCAGTGGAAGTAATTAAGCAATATTAACCTCACGTACAGCTAAGAAGAAGACAATTGAACTAATTAATATTAATATACAAGAAAAAACCCAAATTACACCTCGGAGAGTGGAGAGGAAAACCCAAAAAAAAATAATTCATGTGATGAACAAAAACATGACCAAACCCCAGAATATGAAAAATAACTATCTAGGCTAGGTGCATGCTTAAATTTTCATTCGCGATTAATTTGACAATAAAAACTGGTTTTTATTTTTCGAGAATCGTTGAGATCTAACTGGGAATGGAAATGGAAGTTGATTGGAGAAGTTTTTGTGCTAAAGAAAGTTGTTCCATTAAATTGATTACACGTGTCCTGTAAGCCCGAGATTGGTTCACAGCCTCGGCTTCAAGCTCTCCTAGCTGAGAGCAAAGCCGCTCCTCAGCTTCCTCCGCCACCTTCAGCCTTTCCCATGTCTTTTTCAGCTCCTGTTTCATTTTCTCCTCCCTCTCCAAACTCTTCTTCAATTCTTTCTCCAACTCCTCATTTCTTCTCCGAAGAACCTCCGCCTCCGGCACGATGGAGACCTCACGGTGGTAGGATTTTGATTGGGCGGAGAAGGGCAGTGCTATACTCGGAGCCATTCTATATTCTTGAATGAAGTTACTCCTCCAAAAAAGTCGGGAACAAAGATTGCTTTTGTTTTGTTGTTTGGAACTGATGCAAAAGACTATGGTGTTAAGTGGGGTTTTATATACACATAGCTAGTGAGTATGTCCAGGTTCATTGTATTTGGCAACTCTTCATGAGGACAAGTGTACTTGAAACTCTGGTTTGCCTTTGGTTTATTAATTTTTAAGTTCACAATAATTGTTGATCTGGGGTTGGTTAAGTATACACAATTAGAGAGATGCAAAGCTCTTGCCTTTGACCATCGATATAATAATAGAAACAGGCCCACTAGTCTACATCCTCGTGGCGGAGCCACAGTTTTGATTGGATTCGGCCGAACTCATTAGCTTTTGCTCAAATTTTATATTCGTATTAAAAAGTTCAATTAATATGTAAAAATTAATAATTTAGAACTCAGTAATTTTAAAGAATTATAATTTCGAACTCATAAGATTTAAATTTTAGTTAGGCCTATGCCCGTTACGCCTCATGACTTTTATAGTGCGTGTTGTTTAACCAAAAATTGAAATTTCTGTCAAAGCTTATTTTTAGAAGAACTCGGGTTACTGATAATCAAGTAGAAAAAGAAATAATTGGTGTAAATAATAGCTGAATAGAAAGCAAAGTAAATCAGTATATTCTAATAGTATTTTGTGTCCTTACAAATATTCATTCCTCACCTTTTATAACTATTTCTAAGTAATACGTTTTTCTCCTTTCATAATGTTGTCGTTATGGATATTTAATGGCATTTAATGTAACGTTATAACTGGCAATCGTAACTAATTCAATACAGATTCTATAACGTTTTCAGTAATTAATGCCTATTATCTACCAATAATACGTATCTATACCCCTTTTGCTATTTAGGTTCATTTTTTCGATGCCTCTTCAGAATATCAAGAGGTTCGAGCACCTATCCTTTCTGGTTTTCTTGGATCTTTGCTCGTGCCTACCGAAGCTCGTGCCTCTTCAACTATTCTTCGCCAACTGTCATTCTTTTACCAGTCCACGTATCATGACATGTCACCACATAATTAATTCGATACATTAATTTGATTTTTTCCAATACAGATAGTCCCCTCACTTGCCATTTATTCATCAAATAGAATATTTGGAAAGTAAATCTCATTAAAGCAGGAACTTTTGCTGCCGTTATACCTTCTCTGGAACTGACGCTTCATATGTCACTTCCATTTAATGCTCGTGGCGCGTGACATCTTCTGATTGGTTCTGCAACTTTTTAGCGTCTTTTAGGGCTTTTTGCGGCTTCATCTATTACGAAGCGACAATTTCCATCATGACGTTTCCATCATTACACCTTTTTCTTTGACGGTTACTTCTGAGTAAAAATATAACTTTTGTCTTTGTCTTTCTCATAAAAAGTTTCATATCTTAGAATATTCACTCTTGTTTTCTTCTTCCTCGTACTGCCATGTCTTCTTCAAACCTAATCCTCGAAGAGTCCCCATTGTTGATGATCTTCCTCTTGCTCCTGTTAGAAGCAGAAGAGGAGGAAGACTTCGTAGTTTAGGGTCTTCATCTATACGGGGTACTTCTTTACCTTCAGTGAGTTCTACTCCTCCTTCTAGAACTAGAGGTTCTCTTTCTCATAGACCTTCATCTAGAAGTAAGGATTCTAATGAACCCCTTTGTGAGCCTTTGGTAGAGGAAATTGTCCTTGCTGAACTATCTTTTTACACTGATAGAGAATCGATTAGAAACCAAGTTTCTTCTATGTCTTCTTTAGATCATGCTGATATTTATCCTTCTTAAATCACCGAAGGTCTGATCTCTGTTGTCCGTTGGGATTGCCATTGGAGACCTGATTTCCCTATTATAATTCCTAATGCGAACCAAAGAATTACATCTTGCTTGACCGAGTTTTCTTTTGTGTATACATACCCTTTTACGCTGAATTTTAAACCCCCCATTGACCCTGTTATCATAGAATTCTGTCATTTTTTCGACGTTTGTCTAGGACAGATTGACCCCATTATGTGGAGGGTTGTTGCTTGTTTAAGGAATTTAACAAGGTTGGCTAATTTGCCTTTTACTTTCTTTCATTTGATCCATCTCTACTCCCCTAAACTTTTCCGTCATGGAATTTTCACTTTAGTGACGAGAAGTAAGAGACTGTTAGTTAGCCCAGAGGATGATAAGGACCGTGGCTGGTATGCCAGGTTTGTTGCTGCCCCTACTGTTGGTTTAGTAGGCGAAGAAAATGTTCCATTTCCTGAAAAGTGGAATTTTGCACGTAAATTTCCCTTTTACAACTTTCTTTATCTTTTCCCTTTATTTTTTCCGCTACTGTTTAACTCTTTCTCTTTTCCAGCAACCATGAGAACTGTTGATGAGATTCCCAATTTCCGTGGTTGGGTAGGAAAGTTATTGAAAGTTTCTCCAATGGAAGGTAGATCTTGGAAAAACCTTTCGCATAGATTTGGTTGGAAGGTTAAAACTCATGGTAAATGTTTTAGTTATCTCATTTTCATATTTTCATTCACCTTTCCCTTAGAATTTGTTTTGACCCTTCTTTTTATCAGGGTTTCCCATTTGTGGTGTAAGTGCTGATGCTGTCGTGGTTTCCAGAGTTTCTTTGGAGAGAGCTCAAGAGAAAATCTTGAGTTCCTCATCGAAAAGAAAGGCTGATACAACCCAGGATTCTGAAGAAGAGGAGGAACATGATGGAGGTTACTTGATTAAAAGGTTGCGGGCCAGAAGACGCGTTTTCTCAGATGATGAAGGGACTCCTCCCCGTTCTGTTCCCATAACTGAGGTTATTGAAGCCACCTTGGTGAGCTCTGATGATGATACTCCTGCGGCAGCTCGTGGCTCTAATGATCAGCTTTTTTCTCGTGGGTTTGATAGCGAAAATTTGGATTTGGTTTCCGATGAAGTTCCCCTTGCCTCTTTTACCATGCCTATTCCTGTGGCATGTTCTTTGCCAATTGTGACTACTACTGTTGCTGCTCTGCCCCAAATTGTTATGACTTCCTCTGCAGTCCCTCCTACTACCGTTCCTCGTACTGAGGTTGGTTCTTCGAGTGGAAGTGGTGCGATGAAACGGATTACCATTGAGGTCCCTGCCGGTGGTAACTTTTTGAAAAAGTTAGGTCGGGCTGACGTATGGTTGAAACCTCTGATCGGTCCAGTTGAGAAATCCAAGCTTGAGAGTCATAGCTCTTTGACTTGGATGAATGACATAGTATAATCATCGTTAAAGGTATTTGCTTCTTTTTTCACTTTATTCCATCCTTCTTTTATTAAGGTTCTTACCCCTTTTCTTCTTTTTTAGATCAATCTTATTGGCACAGAGATGATGAAGAGGGTTTCTCATACAGAGCAGTTAATTCATGATTATCAGATTAAAGTGAACAACTGGAAAGAACAATATGAAATCCTTCAACTTGATATGGAAATGTTAGAAGAAAACAAATACACCTTAGAGCAGCATTTGAAGGTTCTGACTTCAGAGTTAGTAGTTGAGAAGGCTTCCTCAAATCAAGCTGACAAAGATAAAAATCTCCTCGAGACATCATTTTCTGAGCAACTCTCCAAAGCCAATGAAAATATTAGAGGGTTGAAGGCATTGCTAAATGAGAAAGAGGTTTACGCTGGTGAACTTGTGCAAACATTTACTCGGACCCAAGAAGATCTTCATGAGTTTTCTGATAAGTTCAGATTTTTAGAAAGTTCACTTGCCCCTCTGCAATCTTCTTATGATGCTGCTTTGGCCGAGAAAGAAAAGCTTAAAAATGAGATTGATCAATGGGAGAAAGATTATGAGATTCTTGAGGACAAGACTGCCATTGAAGTGAGTTGGGCTATTCTAAACACACGCCATGATACCCTAACCAGGTTTGGACTTGCCTAACCAGATCACGTGCTTTTTCCAGGTATTGCTGCATTCTTGCCTCTTTGGCTGCATAAGTCTCTAGCATTTGGTTAACTACGAGCTGTGAATCGCTTTTAATTATGACCTGTTCTATGCCAAGTTCGCGTGCCAGTTCTAAACCTACAATCACAGATTCATACTCTGCCTCATTGTTAGTAATAGGGTGATATTTTATGGCTTGTCGGATGGTTTCTCCCGTAGGTGGTACCAAGACAATACCTAGACCTGCCCCTTTCACATTCGATGAACCATCAGTAAATAAAGTCCAAGTTCCTGGATCAGACCCATTGAATACCCGTAGCTCTTTTTCTGCTTCAAGTTATATCCCTTGGCTAAAATCCGCCACAAAATTTGCTAATACTTGTGACTTTATTGCAGTTCTAGGTTGACACGTAATGTCATATTTACTCAGCTCTATGGCCCACTTGGCTAACCTACCTGATAACTCGTGTTTATGTAATATATTACGTAGGGGATAGGCAATTACTACCAATATGGGATGTCATTGAAAATAAGGTCTTAATTTCCTAGATGCCATAATTAATGCAAGTGCAAGTTTTTTTAGATGAGGATACCGAGTCTGAGCATCTAATAATGACTTGCTAACATAATAAATTGGCGACTATTTACCTTGGTCTTCATGAACTAAAACAATACTCATCGCTACTTCTGAAACAGCAAGGTAGATGAGTAGTTTCTCCCCATCTTTTGGTTTTGCAAGCAACGGTGGATTTGATAAGTATACTTTAAAATTTTTAAGTGCTTGGTGACATTCCTCAGACCATTCAAACTAATCCTGCTTTTTTAGAGCTGAAAAGAACCTAAAGCATTTTTCTGATGATTTGGAAATAAATCTTCCCAAGGCTGCAATTTTTCATGTCAGTCTCTGTACCTCTTTTTTACTTGTAAGTGTATTAGGAATTTCCTCAATAGCTTTAATCTTCACGAAATTTACTTCAATGATACGATTAGAAACAAGAAATCCCAAAAACTTACCTGATGAAATGCCAAACGCACACTTCTCGGGGTTTAACTTCATGTTAAATTTACGGAGAATCTGAAATATATCAGACAAGTGTTGGATATGATCTTCTGCTTGTTGTGACTTGACCAGCATATCATCTATATAGACTTCCATGGTTTTCCCTAAATGTTCT